AAAATCTTTTCCCGTGCATGCCCTCGATGGTGCCAGAGTGATCCGCGAGGGTGCTGCGGGGCTCTGCTGCCCTGGGTTCTGCTTCCCAAGTGCAGAGCGACGGGGGAGGGAGGCATCCCTGGACCCCTGCCCGCTGCCGTCCTCCGCGCCTTCACCAGCCACTGGGAGAGGCCGCCGCACAGCGCCAGTGGGCGTCCTCCTGCACGTCCTCCCACTCCTCCTCCCGCTGGCACTCCTCTCCTTCGCTCGTCTCCTCCGTGTGGACGGAGGAGGGGGGAGGCTGGAGGGAGACAAATGTGGCACTTCGCACGCAACAGGGAGAGATGACGCGCCCGTGAGCAGGACGCTTTCTGCTCGGCCGCCGAATTAGCACCGCACAACTACTTATGCAACCAATGACAAATCGTTGCACGTCTGACTGCCGAGATTGCAACCTATGGCGCAACCAAAAGCAAACAATTTGATGTTCGGCAGCGGAATGTGCATCCCACGGCGCAGCCGACAGTGACCGGTCTCAGTTCGCCCGATAGCGAACAACCCATGGGCAGTCGAAAACTCATCCCATGGCTTAACCGACAACAGGCCATCTTATGTTCGGCCGTAGAGGGCACAAGCTGTGACGCAATCAACAACAAACTGATTTCGGGAGCAGCCAGAATGTGTCTTTCGCGACGTCTGCAATCTGGACTGGACTATTCACATCCGTTTGGCAACCGGTCTGTTCTCGGCTGGTGGGTGTGCAACATATGGAGCATACAATCACAGACCGTGTACTCTCGGCAACCGATGGCGCAACCAATACCAAGCTACTGCATTCGTGCCAGCCAGCAACGCAAGTCGTGGCGCAACCAACAAAGCGGAAAGCGCAACCCATGGCGCACCCACTAGCCAACCGTATAGTTTGATCGGCCGCCGAACGCGCAGTCTCCATGCCGCGACCAATTGCAAGCTGCTTTACGTTCGGGCGCCGGATGTGCAACATGTAGCGAAGCCAATAGCCAACAATGCTGTGTTACCGGCCGCTGGACACACAACTTATGGCGAAACAAGGCCGTTCTGTGCGCGGCCACCGAGGGCGAAACCAATAACGCAACACATGGCATGCCGTTGTACCATCATCGGCGGCCGAGTGCGCAACAAATGACGCCACTAATCGCAGGCCTGCTTATGTTCGGCAGCGGAGTGCGTAATCAATGGCGCAACACACGGGTGGCGCAAGCTAGAGCGCAACCCATGGATATGGCGCAACCAATAACTCAACCCAATTTGCAGACCGTGGATAGCGCAACCTATACAGGAGGCATCGAATGGCGCGCGGCGCAGCCCATGGATGGCTGAACTTACGGCGCATCCAATAGATAACGCAACGTCTGGCGCAACCGATCGAAGGCAGCGAAGACGACGACAATGACTGGCGGCGACGACGACGACGAATAGTATGAGTAGTAGTGCTATTAATAGGAATAGCAGTCGCACTACGACTTCTAGCATGACACACACTAGTGCTTGGACTACTACTACTCGCCGTAACGCATCTGACTAAAACGAGTGGTAGTGCCACTATTACATGTATGCATAGAAATACGTCTACGGCACCGACCACCAGTATATTACTACTACTACTACTACTACTACTTCCACTACTACTACTACTACTACTACTACTACTACTACTACTACTTGTACTACTACTACTACTAATACTACTACGACTACTACTACTACTACTACTACAACAACAACTACTACTACAACTACTACTACAACTACTACTACTGCTACTACTACTACGACTACTACTACTACCACTACTACTACTACTACTACTCGTACTACTACTACTACTTCTACTACTACTACTACTACTACGACTACTACTACTACTTCTACTACTTCTACTACGACGACGACGGCTACTACTATTACTACTACTACTACTACTACTACTACTACTTCCACTACTGTTACTACTACTACTACTACTACTACTACTGCGAGTACTTCTTCTACTACTACCACTACTACTACTACTACTAATACTACCACTACTACTACTACTACTACTACTACTACTACTACCACTACTACTACTACTAATACTACCACTACTACTACTACTACTACTACTACTACTAATAATACTAATACTACCACTACTACTACTACTACTACTACTACTACTACTTCTACGACGGCTACAACTACAACTACAACTACAACTACAACAACACCAACAACAACATCAACAACAACAACAGCACCACCACCAACAACAACAACTACTACTACTACTAAGGCCACTACTACTCCTACTCCTCCTCCTCCTCCTCCTCCTACTACTACTACTACTACTACGACGACTACTACTACTATCACTACTACTATCACTACTACTACTACTACTACTACTACTGCTACTAGTACTACTACTACTACCACTACTACTACTACTACTACTACGACTACTACGACTACTACGACTACTACTACTACTACTACTACTACTACTACTACTACTACTACTACTACTACTACTACTGCTACTACTAAGATTACATCTCTAAGCTTACATCTACTACTACTGTGACTACTACCGGGCGGACGGACAAGAGGACTGACCAAACTGCCCGCGGTCCTCCCTCCTGGGGACGCGGGAAGTCTGGGATCGTCACCTCCCCCTCGCGGCGGGAGGGTCTCCTCCTCCACTGCCCCCTCGCCCACTGGACCGTCAAGTGTCTGTGATTCCGAGCTCTGGCGAGGTCCCCCAGGAGACCCAACTGAATACATGAAGCAGGCCCTCGACGTCGGCAATGCGGACCAGCGGAAGTCCGGAGCCTTCTCCGCAAAACCAGTTTTTCACCGAGTGGACTTCGGACAGGCCTCAAGCCAAGAACTGGCCTCCAAATGCCGAAGATATGTGGCAACCCGCAACGGCGGATACAATGTTGGGGCGGGCCCGGGGTGGGTCGCGGGCACGTCACGGGTGTGTCGCGGGCAAAATCGCGGGTGGGTCGCGGGCCACGGGAGTCGCGGGCGAGGTCGCGTGTAGGACGACGCCAACAAACAACAACAACGCACCGACAACACGAACCGCGGAACCCTAATTCAGCCACGCGCCCAGAAACAGTGAATGACCGTGCGGCACCCATAAAAGACAGCCGCCACGTTCTTTTTTGGGGACAACACCAAAATCCTCTTCCATTTCACCCTCTTCCTCTGGTGTGCTTGTTCTGGGATGCGTTCTGACCACAATTGCGAAGCGGACCCATACGTGGCGACGAAAAGACCCGCAGAGGCTCAGACAATGAGAAAACGATCAAAAACCAACCTCGAACTCCGAAATAACGATGAGACAACTATGGTAACGATCAAACAAAAGACGATATCGAACACAATGGGGAAACAATCGAAAATTCTCAACGCACCCAAAAAACCCGTCCATCGGTCCTCGATTTCCAGCTTCCACCTCCTCCCCCATTGGGGGCCTCGAGAGCGGGCGTGTTCAGCACGTCGAGGGCGAAGGCGTCGAGCCCCAGGGAGCAGAAGTGGAGCGCAGACAAAAAAATGTGGTACTGCACCATCAGCGGCAGCCACGCAGCCACCTCGGAGGATTTACGTCGACGACAACTCGCGATGACGACGACGGCGACGTGCCGACGGAAGGGGCGACAGCGCACCAGTTCGGAACGGGTCTGGTCCAGGCCACACGGTTTTTCAGGGCTGCGCAGGACTGCCTCGCAAGGCGTGCAACGTCACAAAAATAGCAGGGGCGGGGTTATACCCTCCCCCTGGCGCAATCGAGGAGGACACCGACTGGAAAGCAAAGTGGGTGTGCGCGATGCAGTCATTCGAAGCCCTGTCTGCTCGTCCGAAAAGCAGGCGCCAGCTGCTAGCGCACTTTGGCTGGCGCGCCCCAGTGCCTCCCTCAGCAAACCATGGCGCCGCCGCGGGACATCCCCCGCGACGGCCCACAGCGACAGATACAGAGCAATTTTCATGTGTTCTCCCAGCAGACTCGGGAAAAAGGAGACGCTAGAACTGTCGACTGAGCGGTGAGCACCACGGCGCGCCTGGAGGTTTCCAACGAGCGAGACCCCAGGGGAGGGGTATGGCGGAAAACCTGGCAGAGGCCATTCCAAGCCGCCTGCGGTTGGTGGCACCTGTCTATCAGCGGAGTAGACTGCTAACCGGAAGAAGCAATTAAGAACCCCCCCGGCGTTATCATTAGCACCGCGACGTAATTAAATAATTATTTGGGGGGGTTTTCGCCGAGCGATATTATTAGCACCGCGCAAATGGAAGGAAAATGAATAATTCCAGCGCCCCGCCTCGGGTGGCATCCCAATTAGAATTGAAATGAGAATAAGAATACGAATACGAATAAGGAAAAGCTAAGAAAAGCTATGGAAAAGCTGAGAAAAGCTGAGGAAAGCAAAGAAAAGCTGAGGAAAGCTCAGGAAAAACTAAGAAAAGCTAAGAAAAAACTGAGAAAGCTCAGGAGAAGAGCAAGAAAAGCTGAGAAAAGCTACTAAAAGCTAAGGAAAAGATTAGGAAAAGCTAAAGAAAACTAATGAAAAGCTAAGGAAAACTATGGAAAAGCTGAGGAGAAGCTAAGGGAAACTAAGGAAAACTTAAGAAAAGCTAAAGAAAGCAATGGAAAAGCTGATGAAAAGCTAAGGGAAACTATGGAAAAGCTAAGGAAAAGCTAAGGAAAACTAGAGAAAACAAAGGAAAAGCTCAGGAAAACTAAAGAAAAGTTTAGGAAAAGCTAAGGGCAACTAAGGAAAAGCTAAAGGAAACTAAGGAAAAGCTGAGGAAAAGCTGAGAAAAGCTAAAGAAAACTATGGAAAAGCTCAGGAAAACTAATGAAAAACTAATGAAAAGTAAAAAACAACTGAGGAAAAGCTGAAGAAAACTAAGGAAAACTTAAGAAAAGCTAAGGAAAACTAACGAAAAGTTCAGGAAACCGAAGGAAATGCTGAAGAAAACTAAGGAAAACTAAAGGGAAGCTAAGGAAAACTGAAGAAGCTCAGGAAAACTACAGAAAAGCTCAAGAAAACTAAGGAAAAGCTCAAGGACACTAAGGAAAAGCTGAGGGAAACTAAAGAAAAAATAAGGAAAAGCTAAAGAAAACTAAGGAAAAGCTAAAGAAAACTAAGGAGAAACAATAATTAGCCCCCCCCCCCCTTGTTGCGTCCACGCAGAAATTGCGCCCCAGCCCCTCCCCCCAGTCGCCCGCCCGAGCGCGGTGGCGGAATCGCGCGGCAGCGCCACTGAATGCGATGCACCGAAAGAGAACAAGGCGATGTGTTTCTGAGCGACGCCTGCGCACGGCGCCTGATCTCTTAAAGCGTCAGCGAGCGCTGAAAGCCCTGGCGTCGACGTGACGCCCCGGCGCTGAAAGCCCTGGCGCTGAAGGGGGCGGTCTCGATCAAAAACGCGAGCACTGAAAGCCCCCTGAAAAAATTGGAGCCGCGCTGAGAAAGGGGCGGTCTGAAGGCGCTGAGGCGCTGAATCTCTGAACTGCGGCCTGAAGATTGCTGAGAGAAACTCAGCACAACATCTGCCTGACAGGCTAAGCTCGCCCTCCCCTCCCTGCCGTCCCCTCCCCCAAAGAAAAATAAAGAAAAACTCAGGAATGGTAAGGAAAAGCTGAGAAAAGCTAAGGAAAAGCTGAAGAAAAGCTAAAACAAGCTCAGGAAAAGCTGAGAAAAGCAAAGGAAAAGCTGAGAAAAAGCTAAGGAAAAGCTAAGGAAACGCTAAGGAAAAGCAAAGAAAAGCTAAGGAAAAGCTGAGAAAGAGCTAAGGACAAGCTAAGAAAAGCTAAGGAAAAGCTGGGGAAAAGCTGAGAAAAGCTAAGGAAAAGCTGAGAAAAGCTAAGGAACAGCTAAGAAAAGCTTAGGAAAAGCTGAGAAAAGCTAACGAAAAGCTGAGAAAAGCTGAGGACAGCTAAGGAAAAGCTGAAAAAGGCTTGGGAAAAGCTGAGGAAAAGCTAAGAAAAGCTCAGGAAAAGTTAAGAAAAGCTGAGGAAAAGCTAAGGAATAGCAAAGAAAAGGCCAAGAAAAAGCAAGGAAGAGCTGAATAAAGCTAAGGAAAAGCCAAAAAAAAAAATTAAGAAAAGCGAGCGAAAAGCTAAGGAAAAGCTAAGGAAAGCTAAGGAAAAGCTGAGAAAAGCAAGGAAAAACTGAGAAAAGCTAAGGAAAAGCTGAGAAAAGCTAAGGAAAAGCTGAGAAAAGCTGAGGACAGCTAAGGAAAAGCTGAGAAAAGCTAAGGAAAAGCTGAGAAAAGGTGAGAAAAGCTGAGGAAAAGCAAAGACAAACAATGGAGACCTAAAGAAAACCAACGGAAGGCACTCCCCTTTCCTCTGACAGCGCCAGACGCGGCCTCTTAGGAACGCTCACCTGCACATGCCCCTGAGCACGCTCATCGTGCTCATCCTCCACCACGCAGGTGGCCTGCCGTGCCTGATGCAGTACCTCAGGGCGTGGGGGTAGCTGCGCGCGACGCAGCCTGAGGTCAGGATGGGGGCGAGGAGGAAGAGCAGGAGGAGGACGAGGAGGAGGGCGAGGAGCACCAGCCTGAAGTCCACTCGCACTTGGCACACACCTGCACGGTCTGAATCATCTTCATGTGGCTGACGTATGCACAACACTCGTCACTGTTCACGTTCGTAAACTGAGCCTGATGGAAAGCTGCCTCAAGGACTGGCTCGGAAAGGCCTCTCAACCATGCCTCAAAGCCCTTCTCGCCCTTCTGCTTCTGACCTAGCGCTGCGAGAGCCTCCGGCGCCTGCTTCTCAGCCTCCTCCTTCTGCGCCTTCTTCTGTGCCTCCACCTTCTCCTCCTCTGCGCCCTTATTCGGTTCTGCGGGCTCCTTCTGCGCCTCAACCTGCGGCTCCTTATGCGCCTGCACCTTCTCCTCCTCTGCGCCCTTCTTCGGCGCTGCGGCCTCCTTCTGAGCCTCATCACCCTGCTTCAGCGCCTCCTTTCCCTTATCCGCGGCCTTCTTCTGAGCCTTCTCCTCGGCGGCCTCAGCCTCTGCCTCCAGGATTTTCTTCACCGTGGCCTTAACTTGGTCCTTCAATACCTGAGTCGCCTCCTGCTGCAACCTCCTCCTCACTTCCTTCGGGTCCTCAGGGATGGCATCTGGTAGCGTCTTGCACCAGTTGCTGACCAAGGCTGCTTCCTCAGCTCTTCTCCTCAGCTCCTCTGCCTCCCTCTGCTCGGTTTGCTTCCGATCTGCTTTGGCCTGAAGGTGCTGCTGCGCAGCCTTGACCTTCGCCTCCTCAAAAAGCGTTTCCTGAAGCCAGGCTTGCCGCGCCTTCTCCAGCTGCTTCGCGGCGCTCACGCACTTATTGATGACAGCCTTCTTCCTGTCCTTAGGCGTCGTGACTGGAGCTCCCCCCTCACCTGCCAGTCTCCTGACCTCCACCTCGATGTAATGCATGACCCAATAGCCGCAGTCGGTACCTGATTGCCTGAAGATCTGGTGCCTGGTGAGCGCAGTTACTAGCATCTGCTGGCTGAGGTCTGGCACGACTGCCTTCAAGATCTGATCAGCTCTGTCCAGACACACCTCATTGATCTCGTTCATTGTCTCGTAATACCTGACGCGCGGCTCTGCTAGACTGATGCCCTCGTTCCTCGTCTCAACGACAAGGAGGGTCCAGTGTCCCACCTTGTGCTTCCCAGCGCCCTCAGGACACTGACGAGGGAAGAATACCTTATCGTATCGATTGAGAACTCCCCTCATTGCCTCTTCCATGGCTTTCTGACACACCTCGTCCTGATCCCTGAGTGCCGAGAAATACACGTACATGCTATCAGGTGACCAGGTGAAGAAGTTGGCCTGAGGGAAGGTGTGCTCCAGGAGAACTGACCATAACTGAATGGTCCCTCCTTCCAAGAGTGCGGCATCCTTCTTTACTTCCACTGGGGGTGCTGAGTCCGCGCTCACCATGTCGAGTCTGCCAAGCATCTGATATTTCATCTTCTTGCTCACGTGCTCGAACGTGAGAAGTGCTTTCGGCGTAGGCAACGTCTCATTCACCTCAATGACCGCGCTGATTGGGACGCGCCTGTTATTCATCTGATCGTCCAAGATGCTGATCTCCTGATCCTCCTTGTGAGCGCACATGCAGTGGCCCACTTTCCCGAAGAGAGCCTCACCGCCGGCGTACTCACGATCAACCCTGAACACTTTCTTCAGGTACTGATCCTCATGGAATCGAGGTACCCCGAACAAAGCAGCGACCCTCGCAGACTACCCCTAAGGCCTGAATATGGAGGAAGTCCAAGGCGGGAGCCTTGTCTGTGAGCGCGTCCTCCTCCGTGTCCTCCTCCTCCTCTTCCTCTTCCTCCTCCCCCTCCTCATCCTTCTCTTCCTCCAGCCCCGATTTTTCAAATGAGATTTCTATTGCAACCCCTTTGGAAAAATTATTTTTTTTGGCCGTCGCAGGAGGTGGTCCATCCCAGGATATCGCCCCGCCCCGCACCGAGGCGTTATCTTAGCACCCGGCAGGACCAAAATAAATCCCCGAGCCCGAGCCAGAAAGCTGAAGGAAAGCTAAGGAAAAGCTAAGGAAAAGCTAAAGAAAAGCTGA